GGTTGCCCCGCGCCGGCGGATGGGGGGGGGGGGGGTACACCCCTCCCCCCCCCCAATAATTGAAAATTTTCAATTTTTCTCAGCGACACGAGAAGATTTTTTGTAAGTTTTGAGTTTTTTTGCGAACTTCGTTGCAAACATCCCCTTACGCCCCCCCTCCCCGAATATTAGGTCTTTCCCGCTGGTTCTGGGGATGTGACGGGGTGACAAGGTACGGTTACCGTGATCTCGTCCGTGCTATAGGATTCGCTAGACCGCTTCGACTTCTGTAGTATTTCAAATAATCCGAGAAATCATAAACACAGTACATATTTATACATAATTGTAATATCTACAAAGAGAAATACACTATTGGCTAGATGTCCTTAAGAAAGGGGTCCCCATGTCGTATAGAACGGTCCGTAAGCGTCCCTAAACGACTAAAAACGGCAGCCCTTGCGATGGCCAACAATGACGCACCGGAAAACGATATGATTTGCCTAATTCGAGTTCGAATATAAATGGGCACCGAACTGACTACTATCACTTCGAATATAAATAGAAAAAAAAACGGTGCATTCATGTTAATATAGCAAAAAAGCAAATGAAATTGATATGATTTATTAATTTATAATTTGCATCAAATTTAATCTTTTATTTTTTTGATATTTTAGCATGGGTGCGCTGTTTTTTCCATTTATATTCGAACTGCAATTCGGTGTGTTCTCAAGATATTCTAAAAAGAATCATTTTATTCATCAACGAAATAGTTAAATAAAATACGAAAGAAAGTAAAATATTTTTGAAGGTGAGACATTGAATACTGTCAAAAGGATAAAACTGAAATAGAATCTATTTATTATTACATATAAAAGACATTCTTAAAATCAATTTACTTTCAAGGTTTCTCTTTCGATTATTTTATATAATAGATAATAATAGAATCTATTTCGATCATTTATATTTAAAGTAAGAAACAATACAGTACTAATATTTTCTATTTAAGAAAAATTGTATTAATTGATCACTTCATAAGAAATAGATAAAAGAATGCTTGCTGCCATTTTCTTTTTGTTAATTTCTATTGTAATTTGTAATTGTATATGTAAGTTAAAAGACAAAATCGTAATATGAAATAGTTTCTTTCTATTAGTTTGTAATGATGGTTCAAATCCATGTCAATTTGATTCAGCAGATTTGCCTAATTCATATTTTTTACCAAAAAATGGCTATCATTGCCTTGATACCTTCACTGGTCAAATTATTTGTACATGCCCAGATGGTTCAACAAGATATGATAAACCTTGTAGTAAGCGTTCATTTTATTTTATTTTATCAATTAGATTATTTAAATCTATTTATTCAATTGCTTATTTTTTTGTTAAAGGAATTTGTGATCGACGGCCAAATCCATGTGGAGTTGGATCATCAGTTATTTCATGTACTGACATAAATCAATCTTTTTCATGTTTATGTTATAATACACAAGGAGAAATAATACATTCAACAAAACCATGTGGTACTCAATTTAAGAAATATTTTGAAAAAGAAAACATTTTCTCTGTCTATTTTAGATGAAAATATTGTTACACCTGTTACACCTGTTACACCTGTTACACCTGTTACACCTGTTACACCTGTTACGCCTGTTACGCCTGTTACACCTTCATCTCAAATAAAATGTGATAATGAGGGTGTTAGAGATCCGACGACAAATCTCTGCGATTGTCCTAGTGGTTTTAGTGGTAGTAAATGTGAAATACGAGCAGGTATTTTTATTTTTTTGCTTAAAAACTTCTGAATAAGACTATTCAAGATAAGCAATTGTGTGATAGAATTCAATGCTTGCCAAATGGTGTCTGTGCTATTCGTCCAATCTACGATGGAGCAACAATATATCAATCAAAATGCCTTTGTCGATCAGGCTTTGATGGAGATTATTGTGAAAGACAAAGTAAATAATCAATTATATTTTCATAATTATGATTTCAATGCATATTCTAAAGGTGTAATTGGTACTTGTACATCATCATATTGTTTACATGAAGGTGTTTGTAAACAACGATCAATTGGCTCTTCTAATTATATTTATTGCCAATGTCGACCAGGATGGACTGGTACAACATGTGATAAACGTTCGATTAATTCATTAATATTTGATTTGCAAGAATAAAAAAGAATTTGTTTTTCGTACTATATTTAGAATACTTTCGTTGTCGATCATCAGGATATTTTATTGATGAACAGTTGAAAAATCAAGGCAAATACTTCTTATGTGTACCAAGTAGTAATGGTTCGAATATATTTTATTTTTAATCTATTATCTTAATTAAAATTTATTTAGCTATAGATTATTTAATTCGACAACTATCATGTCCAAAAGGTCTTAAATTTAATCTTGACAAAAAACTTTGCCTTCAATAATTTTAATGGTCGATGCAAAGATAAACATTGGGATACTCTTTTTCTTTGTTAATTGATTATTATAACTTTATTTCAGTGAATGTTTTTTTTTCTTTTTGTCAAATACATTATCAATTAATTTTTGTTTTTTGAATTTCAATTTGGGTTAATTAAATTACATTACATTAGTAACTAATTTTTATTTGATGGTTCTTTTTAAAACGATTATTAGATTTTGCAGCATATTTTCAAACATTTTAATCGACTGACTATTAAAGAGGAAAAAAAGATCAAGAGATATTTTTCAATATCAAAATTTTTCTTTTGTTTTTCTCATTTTCCTCTCAAACATCTCAATTACAAATTCAAGAAATAATTACTTCAGAGAAAGAGAGAGACAGAGATCTAATATTGACTGATGTACATTTGAAATTAATCTTATATGAAAAACAAAACAAAAAAAAAGAGTATCTCATGTCAACTAAGCATTAGAATTATGCAATTAATCGTTATAAATAAGTATGATTTTGTTGTAGAAACTAATTAGGCAATTGGCCACATTGATAATCATAAAAAAGATAATTTATATTAACTAAAATATATTATAGAACAGAATATGAATTCTCTTCTCATAGCTTATGTTGGATAGATCCATAACCAGAAAAATAGATAATAATCTCATTGACTAAATTATGATTCTTTACCATATATTTATTCTATATATAATCGATTTCAAATATTATCAATATAATTGAAAATATCTAAGAAAAGTGTTCGACAAAAATTCATGTCTTTTTCAACTTTTTATCAACAAAAATGTTTCTGTCATAATCTATACTGGATTTTAACAATTAAAATATTGTTTTAGTGTTTCGTCTCGCATTATTAAAAAATGTAATTCATTGAAACTACGAATGTTCAAAATGTTTTAGTTTGATTGTTAGTCTCAACCTTGATTGCGTTAATTATTTGTATTTTTCTCAATTTTTCACTTTTAGTTTTCATTTATACAAGTTAAATAAATTTTATTTTTTTCGTTAAATCTAAAAGTCGACATAGATTAAGTAAAACGTATTTTTGTGAAATATTCAGTGGAACATGATCTTTAGGAATTTGTTATAAAGAAGAACTTTCTTCGGAAATGGATTGAAAAAATCCTTGATCAGATTGAGATAATTGGAGAAAGAATTGTTTCTTGTGTTGCTTTTTCTAGAGCAAATTGACTTCATATATCTTGTTCATTAAATGTTGGATAAAGAAGTGTTCTACACAGCTGAAGAACACCAAGATATGAACGAAGTTTTGGTAAATGATTTTTTAATTGACTTGATGATAAACGCATTTTTGTTTTCATGAATTTGATCAGATAAATCAATTCGACGAAAAAACTTTACACACTCGAAGTGATTCATCATATTCGCCATTTCAATTAAATTTTCAATGGATAGGCCAGGAATACTATGTTTAGTTATAGTAATGACCTCGACTACTATAATTTACCAGAGAAGCGGAGATTAAATTTGATGGTTTATGAGAGAAAGATTTATAAATCGATCAAGTATTCAAGTAGTCTACCCAGGATAATGATTCCTGAAGCAGTTTTCCGTGAATTTCCGGCGAAAACCTGCAAGAAACTCGCTGTTTCTGACCGGAACCCACCGGGAATTGTCCGAAATTCGATGCAGGAATCCGGAAACCGTATCCGGCTACCAGTTTTGGCAGGTTCCTGTCTATTCCAGCCTGAACAGGATAAATCCGGTCACCGGATCCTTTCACCGGGATATTGCTTCCATGAAATCTCCGGAATACCACAGAACCGGCAGTTTCCGGGACTGGAATGTTCGGCCTGGGTCATAGGCGGCGGAGCCCTTAGGCTAGAAGGGGCTTGAGGCCCTCCTAAGGAATAATTGGAGGGGCTCAGATTTTCGAAAAAAATACAGATTTCATCGTGATTATATGCTTAATAAGTATATGTTTGTATGCTTTTTAAACATTTAGACGTAATATCACTAGCGACTCCTTTATGAAGTTAAAAAGACAATAATCAGCGTACAGAAAATACATTTATAGTGTCGATGTGTTTTTATTTGTTATTAGAATTTGTAGCACGTTCTGTATGTTGCTTTTGAAAGATTTTGAAATGATAAACAAGCAGTAAGTGTCGTAAAAAAAGATAATGTCGACACCGACATCAACAAAATAGTTTTTGTACTTATAACTTTTTTTATTTGCTTTAGTCAAGATTTAAGATTATTTGTGCTTTTCCTTATATTGATAATGAAATAAAAATTTTGATAGTGTAGTAAAATTTTCAATTGTTCTCAAGGTCTGCAAA